TCACCATGTTGACCAGGATGGTCTCGATCTCTTGACCTCGTGATCCACCCGCCTCGGCCTCCCAAAGTGCTGGGATTACAGGCTTGAGCCACCGCTCCCGGCCGGAATTTCTCATCTATTTCAGGCTAAGTAGATGTATTAATTAGTCTGTTCTCATGCTGCTAATAAAGACATACCCAAGACTGGGTAATTTTTGAAGGAAAGAGGTTTAATTAACTCAGTTCCACAGGGCTGGGGAGGCCTCAGGAAACTTAAAATTATGGTGGAAAGGGAGGCAAACAACTCTTTTTTCACATGGCAGCAAGAGAGAGAAATGAGTACCCAGCAAAGGTGGAAGCACCTTATAAACCCATCAGATCTTGTAAGAACTATCTCACCATCAGGAGAACAGGGTGGGAGAAACCGCCCCCATGATTCAACGATCACCTGATTTCTCCCACAACACGTGGGGATTGTGGGAACTATGATTCAAGATGAGATTCAGGTGGGGACACAGCCAAATCATACCAGTAGGACCCTAATAGTCCAAATCCTGATACAGCTTTATAAGCTTTAATTCTGAGTTCTTCCAGAAGTGATCAGTCACACCTTACACCTTGTAATAAATTCACTCTGATAGCATGAAACACAAGGCCAGTTTATTGATTCACATTATTACCTGAAATATTCATATCCCCACTCCTGGACGTTGCTCTACCTGCCATCCAAGTAAGTACCTGGGAAACAAAAGTTAGAAAATTGCTTGGTGTGATGAATTACCCTTTTATATTCTAAGGGGTGAAAAACACTTTCTAATGAGCAGAACCTTGATGTCAGTCACATCTCCAACAGCTCTTCAGAACAGTAGACCATAATTTTAGACTCCCTGATGACTCTGTTTCTGTTGTTTGTTTTTAAGGCTAGTCACATCACTCTGTTTTCCCCTCAAGATACATTGTCCTCCCTAACTTCAGCATACTTGCAAAATATATATATATATAGCATATATATAGCTGGTTTTATTTTGTATTACATTTCAGGTTGGCTGGCTGCTGGTGGTATTTTAATAAACATGTTAGTGGTGCTAGTTATATCTGAAACAGACTGCCTAGTATTAGTCCAGTCAGTGCCCTAGGACTTTACAAAATGTGTTGGATATAATAGCCCCCATGCATTCATCTATAGATGAGTGCAGAAACATAGCTGCTAGGCATTGCTGACGAAAAAGATACGTGACTTGTTGTGTCCTTAGATACCTAATTTGTTTTTTTTTTTTTTTTGAGACGGAGTTTCGCTCTTGTTACCCAGGCTGGAGTGCAATGGCGCGATCTCGGCTCACCGCAACCTCCGCCTCCTGGGTTCAGGCAATTCTCCTGCCTCAGCCTCCTGAGTAGCTGGGATTACAGGCACGTGCCACCATGCCCAGCTAATTTTTTGTAGTTTTAGTAGAGACGGGATTTCACCATGTTGACCAGGATGGTCTCGATCTCTTGACCTCGTGATCCACCCGCCTCGGCCTCCCAAAGTGCTGGGATTACAGGCTTGAGCCACCGCGCCAGGTGATACCTAATTTGTTTATGGGCACATTCCCTTAGAGGAAGATTCTGGGTTGTTGCCCATCATGTCCACCACATTCGTTCTAATTTACTCACTCTTAGGAAGGTCATGAAGACAAGATAGGAGGAATATTCTTGTTACACAAGATGCAAGGAAGTATATGATCTGATGCTGGGCCTTGTTAACATTTCAAAGAACAAACATAGTTTGTTAGGACATATCTTACTGGCTCTACTGTTGCATTAAAAGGCGACTTTTATTTCTTTTCAAGATAGACTGCTTCTATTCTTACGGAAAAATTGGCCCTAAATCTTTTTAGCATTTATCTTTGATGCTAAGTAACATGTACATAGATTGTAGCTTGACCATTGCAGAAAGGTCTCTATAGTTTGAAAAACTAAAATGAATGATTCAGTAGTAAGTAGGTACATTTGTAATGGTAATAGCACACAGCACAGTTAAATTGCTGGAGTCCTTATGGAAAGCTACTCGGACAGTTTGGCCTTATCTTCTTAGTGTTTAATGATAGCAGGAAGTGTTTAATGTGGTATTTTTTTCCTTTTAAAGAAAACTTTAATAAGGTCATGGCATGCTCCAGATAACAAACTCTGATTAGGTCAGAAATCCTTACTAGTTTGTGTGATGCAGTCTACTTTTCCGAGCCAATAATTTTGACACAGCTTGTCAGTCAAGTCACAGATGGTAAAAGGTAGGAAGAGTCTGTGTAGTTTGGAATTCCTGTTCATGTTATCATCTTAAAATTTAAGGTAGAAAAATTCCTAACATGGGTTACTAAACCAATGGATGAAGAAGCATCACAGGAATCGTCTTCTCATGACAATGTGCACAACACTTCCACAAGTAGTGATTCAGAGGAACAAGACATGTCTGTTAAAAAAGGTGATGACCTACTGGAGTCTAGTCATCCAGAACCTGAAAAGTGTCAGAGCGTAGCTTCAGCTGGTGAACTTGAAACAGAAAACTATGAAGAAGACAGCTTGGTAGCAGCTGTTCCAGATGAGCAGGATTGTGTTACTCAAGAAGTACCAGGCTCCCTCCAGGCAGAAACTGAAGGTAACATGAAGTATGCTTCAACTTGCTGATGGATTTAGATAGTTTTTTTTGGTAATATGTTTTTCCTTAGTTTTCACTTGTGAATCTTCTGTTTCTAAGAAGTCATTGCTATTTAAGTGGAGAGAAGGCATATTAAGTGTACATGTTCTAACTGGCTATAACTTAGCACTCACAGTACTCTTCACTCCTCACTGAGCAAACACGATCAAGTTGAAAGGAAAAGACTGTGGGAGCATTGTGCCTGCAGACCACTGTCTGCAATTCAACTTGGCCTCTGCTGCTACTCTGTTCATGGGCTAAAGGTGACCATCCTTTGTTTGCCCTCTTGAAATGGGGTGTAGCTTTGGGTTACTTTTTTTTTTTAATGTGAGACAGGGTCTCATTCTGTCACCCAGGCTGTAGTGCAGTAGTGCGATCACAGCCCACTACAACCTCGACCCCCAGGGCTCAAGCAGTCCTCTCACCTCAGCTTGAGTAGCTGGGACTACAAGCGCACACCACCATGCCCGCCTAATTTTTTAATTTTTTTTGTGGAGACAGGGTCTTACTATATTGCCCAGGTTGGTTGCCAAAGGTTCAAGCAATCCTCCCACGTCATCCTCCCAAATTGCTGGGATTACAGGAGTGAGCTACTGTGCCCAGCCTGGTTTTTTGTTTTTGTTTTTTTTTTTTTAATTTTTTTATTTGTGTGGATGTGGTTGATGATGGTCATGTGTTTTTGGTAGTACATTAATATAAAAAGAATTCACAGCAGTTGGCTCTAATGAATAAACTGAGTAACATTTTTAATTATGTACTTTTGTATTGTTAGAATATTTATAGCAAAAGTTCTTATATATTTTAATAATAATGGTATTATGAAACAATTATACTTACTGTGACCCTTCATCATTTTTCTTAATTTGTTACTGAGGAAAATAACTTAGTTGAGTCTTGATTTTTTTTTTTTTCTCAGTGCAAGTGTGGGTGCATGTGTACCTATGATCTTTTTATCAAATAGCATACCTATGGTAGTTTACATTTCTTTTATTGTTAATGTTATAATAACTGATTTTCATATGACATTTGTAGGTTTCTGAAATGCTTTCACATACCTTATTCTCATTTAATCTGTAAGGTAGCCCAAGGAAGTAGGTGGAACTATTTTCCATTCTGTGAATACGAACAGTAAACCTGAGAGAAATCTAAAAATTAGTCCAAGTAAGTGGCATAGCTAGGACTCATTACCAACATCTCCAATTGCTAAGTCCCATTTTCCTGTACTACCCACTTCCATAACACCAGTTCTCATGATGCTCATTGTTCTTACCTGGAGTGGTACCACTTTCACAGGTAGATTTGGAAGATGCTGGTTGTTAGAATGGCATTAGGAATTCTGACATTTACTACTCAGTTACTTAATGTCAGGTCATGTGCAAGGTGGTCTTGCACAACAAAGAATTATTCCACCCACAATGTCATTATACCCCATGTTGAGAAATACTCATCATACTTTGCTATTAGTGACACTTTTTGGGGGATGGGGAGATCTGACCCTACTGAATCATGACACATTTTGCTATTTGCGTCGATCAGATGAACATATTAGGACATAGCCCTATCCTTGAGGACCATTTGAGTGTGTAATGGAGTCTTATTCTTTGTTGGCCATCATCTCTTGTTTTTATACTTAAGTGTGACAAAAGTCTCATATTTCTAAGTTGTTGCTTCAATTATTTATCAAAGGAAAAAATCAGTCTCCAAATGAATGAGATCCTTTTCTGTGGAATGGAGCTAGTTGACCCTTGTTTCATTTTCTCAGAAAATGAAATACCACGTGACTACTAGGTTGATCTGACTGAGAGCAGCTAGAGCCTAATCTAGTCCTTGATAGATTTTGTGAAAGGAAATGTTTTGATTTCTATAATTCACCACATAAAGCAGTGTCTTGACTAACAGAAGTAATAACTTTTATATCTATAGCAATATTTATACATATTTCCCATCACTGCCTGTGAATTGTTAGTAAAATACCCCTCACTAACTCATTCATTCATTTATTCCTTTGTCTGTCTGTCTGTTTTTGACAAAGTCTTGCTCTGTTACCCAGGCTGGAGTGCAGTGGTGCGATCTCGGCTCACTGCAACCTCCACCTCCCAGGTTCAAGCAATTCTCCTGCCTCGGCCTCCCGAGTAGCTGGGATTATAGGTGCCCACCACCATACCTGGCTAATTTTTACATTTGTTTTAGTGGAGACGGGGTTTCTCCATGTTGGTCAGACTGGTCTCAAACTCCTGACCCCAGGTGATCTGCCCACCTTGACCTCCCAAAGTGCTGGGATTACAGCCATGAGCCACCGTGCTTGGCCCATTCGTTCCTTTTATAGGAAATAATAATTGGAGCTTAAAGAGCCTGGATTACTTTTCCAAGCTTACAAAGCCAGTAAGTAGCAAAACGCTGGCTGTGATTGAAGTCAGTGGTGTTTCATCAGGCTCTCCTGTTTCTCTGGGCATGTCATTATATACATGTTCTGCTTGTAATTATTTGATGTGACTTCATTTTTAGATAAATTCACTTGTGATACTCATTTTTTCTTAGTGAGCATCTATATTCTTTACTTTTTATTTTAGCTGAAGTGAAAAAGAAGAAGAACAAGAAGAAGAACAAAAAGGTCAATGGCCTGCCTCCTGAAATAGCTGCTGTTCCTGAGCTGGCAAAATACTGGGCGCAGAGGTACAGGCTCTTCTCCCGTTTTGATGATGGAATTAAGTTGGACAGAGGTAAAGTATCTATGTATTTTTTAGCTTTATTTTGAAACCATTTCAAACTTACAGAAAGTTGTAATAATAATACAGGGGATGTTCATATTCCCTTAAGCTGTGTTCAACATTTTGCCCCATTTACTTTCTCATTCTCTCTCCATATGTATGTGTGTGTATCTTTTTCTGATCCACTTAAATACGTCATGCCCATACTCCTTAATACTTTAACGTGTATTTCCTAAGAACAAGTATATTTTTGTTTAAAAGAGTAAATTATCAATTTAACATTGTTAAATTGGTAAGATTATAACTGATAAGATTATAATCTACAGTTTATACTCTAGTTTCATCAGTTGTCCTAATCTTGTCCTTTATCACATATTTTTTTCCTTCCAGTAAAGGATCATGTATTACATTTATTTTTCATGTTATTTTTCCATTAGTTTCCTTTAATCTGGAATCTTAAGTCTTTTTTGTCTTTCATGACTGACATTTCTCAAAGGATAAGTGGCCACTTACTTTATAGAATGTCCTTCAATTTGGGGCGGGGTGTGTGTGTGTGTATTTTTAAAACTTCAGATTTGGGTTTAATCTGTATTTGTGGCACCTTAGGATAGATAGAAAAGCAATTGATAAGTTATTAAACAGAAAATCTGAAGAAGAAATATCTAGTGCAGAAAGGTAGAATTTAACGAATTAACTTTGCACATTTTGAGTTCTTTCTCCAGCTTCCCTGCTGTGATCTGCAACAACTTACTTCACTCAGTCTTGCAGACTGATGCTCATTTTCATGTTGGGGTTACCTAAATACTGGTTTTTATTAACTAACAAAATCAGAAGTTCTTGATCTGTGATGGAATTTCAGGGGTTCTCCGACCTTTTTAAAATAATTTGCAAAATATTGTATATTGGAAAAAGTACGTAGGAATTTGTAAGGCGAAATAAGACTGGAAAACACTTGCAAATCTTTTCCAGTATTGAAGAGCCATTTAAAGTTTTGGTCAGGGGAGGCATCAGGAAAATGAACACACATCATATTTATTTATTTATTTTTCTCTTCTTTTTTTTTTTTTTTTTTTTTTTT